GCGCTCTGCTGTGGGCTCTGTCTTCACGGATGTCGTCTGCTATACAATGTTGCCCCTCTTTCTAAGGTTGCGATCAGGGTCGACGGTGCGGATCATTGTGAGGCATTAGTTTGCGTTGGGTTGGCGCTCAACGGGCGGGCTGGCGGGTGGGCTGGCGGTTAAGCGTGGGGCTGCTCTCAGCGGTGGGCGGTCGGTGGGCTTGCGGTCAATGGTGGGCTGGGGTCAGCGGTGGGGCCGGCGGTGGGCTGGCGGTCAGCAGTGGGCTGGTGGTCAGCGGTGGGCTGGCGTTGGGCTGGTGGTCAGCGGTGGGCTGGTGGTCAGCGGGCAGTTTATTGAATATGCTCCTGTGTTTAGATCATGATGTGGAAAGAAGGTGGACGGCCTTGAGAAAGGACTCCTCGCTCCCGCGTGTTTATTGGCTTAGACTCTTTTTTAACTTCTGAAAACAAGTTGTTCCGTGTCCTTTGGAAACCGTGTCCCAGCTTCACACATACATCAGGTGGCCATATGTGAGGCAGTTAAAATATCACTAGGATTAGCATTTCCCTTAAGCATGTGCTAAAGAAGATAAATTGATAAAATGCATCTTTACACATTTGCTTGCAAGTACTTTGGGACAGAGGATACACTCACCATGCTGCTCACGTTTGCTTAGGACTTCACGGCGTGTAAACAGCTGTTCTGTATATGTGAGCGGGTTGGGTTCTCGCAAGCACAGCAGAAAGCGGGCAGAAAGGCCCCGGGTCCTCAGCGACAGTAAGCAGCTTCGGTGAGACCAACAGCCGCTCCGGGGACTGTGCGCCTAGAATTAGAACGCAGGTCTGTGCGTTGTCACCCTCGCCGCATGCACTCAGCTGGTAAACGCACCTTTGCCAGAAGCAGCCACTGTCAGTCAGAAGGACAGGGCCCCCACTGCAGGGTTTAAATCCTGATCCTGGATAGGCACCCAATGGGCTGTTTTTCAATTTCTCCTGCTTTTTAAACTTTTTAAAAAATATAGATTTTTATTGATTTCAGAAGGAAAGGAGAGGGAGAAATGTTGATGAGAGTCACTGATTGGCTGCCTCCTGCCTGTCCCCTACTGGGGATCAAGCCCATCACCTGGGCATGTGCCCTGACTGGGAATTGAACCGTGACCTCCTGGTTCATAGGTTGATGCTCAACCACTGAGCCACATTTGCCGGGCAATTTCTTCTGCTTTTAAGCCATGCCTATTTCAGAGCTTGTGGTAAGGATGAAGTGAGAGTCTGTATATAAGAATGCTCAGTGCAGGGCCCGAGTCCAAGCAAAGGGCTCAGTGTTTGTTTTTACAGGTCCAGGAACTTGTAGGCACTTATGATTAGGGTCTGTTTTCTCCCCATGTGCTTGAACCCTGGCCGAGTCTCGGGCATCTCAAGCTTCTCCATGGTCTTCAGGCAATCAGAAAATTAAAGAAAGATTTTATTAATGCACTTGCATGCGCTCTGTAGCTTTTGGAGGCTGTCACATAATAGGACTTGAGGCACTTCTCGCAGGAAGCAGGGCAGGACCCGCACTGTGCTCGTGCCTGCAGCAGATGCTGTCTCACCTGCCGTCCTCTGGCCTGAGCCTGCTGTCTGTGCACAGGGCAGGCAGGAGCCACGGCCCACCTGGCACACTCCTCCGGGGCGGTTTGTAGAATGCTCTCCTGGCCAACATCTACCTCCATGTGCTTTGTGCTCTCAGAGTCTGATCCAACTGTGGACTCCAGAACACCGTGCCAGTCAAGTCCTTGTGTTCATGGGAGTTACAGGAAATACAAATGGCATTTAATCTATAAGTAAAATCCAGAGAAGATACTAGTCAAGTTCTTGACACTCCCTCTTCCTGCACAAACCAGACTGGTAGAGACAGGAGCCGGCTCTGGTGGCCGCCTCACCAGCTCGCTTATGTCAGTGATTTAGAAAACATTGCCCTGTGTCACCGTTGAGACAGGGACCTCCACCAGCTTTCTGTTTGCAGACAGTACCTCTTATGGAATTGGCACACTGCCCTTCAGCCTTCCATGTTCATGTCTTGTGTGCATTCTTCTTGTTTCATTTGGCTCGTCTTTGAAAGATGCTTTTCACACACTGTGGTGGTGATGGTTCTGAGAGCTTTTCTACTTAGAGGACTGAACCACACATTCCGCTCTTGCCTTAACAAAAGGTGATATAAATAGAACATTGGGAGTTCTTAGTCACTGAAAAATGTGAAAATAGGCAAAACTATGTGTGGCCAAAACCTTCGTGGGAGGGAAATGTCCTAAACAGAAGCAGCCTTTGGGAGCGTGCCTCGTGTGGTGCACATGCTGTCACACGTCTAGCACATCTGGGGGTGTCCTTGGAATGTTAATACTCAGAGTTGTTTTCTCAACCTTATTTCAGAGTGACTCGAGTCTGGTATGTTCCCGCTACCTTCAGTATTGCAGAGCAACCAATCTCTACCTTGACTTAAGAAACATCAAGAGAAACCATGACAGGTACTTAAGTGATTGATGTTAAAAATCCAATGGAAATTCTGAAATATTTTCAGGCCCAGGGATATACCTTTGGTTTGCTTCATAAAGACATGGCGATGAGGCTGGGACAGGTGGAGGATGGGGGACTTGATTGGCCACGAGTTGATTGTTGTGAAGCTGGGTTTTGGGTCCATCAGCTTCCTTCCTATACGATTCTGCTGCTTTTGTATACATTTGAAATATCTAATCTAATAAAAGACAAACATGCAAATTGACTGTACCTTCGCTATGCCTTAAGCCACGCCCACCAGCCAATCAGAGCAACTGTATGCAAATTAACCCAACCAAGATCTCGGCTGGCAGCCATGGAGCTGAAGCGAGCAGGAGGCTTGGTTGCTCCAGTGATGGAGGAAGCCAAGCTTCCTGGCTGGCCCTGAGCTCCACTGAAGGCAACAAAGTTTTAATTATAGAAGGTAAATAAACCCCAGAATAAAAAAAGAAAAAAGAAAAAAAGGAGGGGCTGGGAGCTTCCGTCGCCGGGGGGCTTGGCCAGCCTGAAAACGGCCCTCAGCCCCTCACCCAGACTGGCCAGGCACCCCAGTGGAGACCCCCCACCCCCACCCTGAAGGGGCTGTGGCCAGCCTGCAAACAGCCATCAGCCCCTCACCCAGGCTGGCCAAACCTCCATGGGGTGA